AATTGTTTACAGCTCCTGATACGGCCGACCAACGTGGGCCAAAATCACGTCTGTGAACCTTGCACTCGGTTACCTTAGAGGAACTTTGCATATTCTTGAGTTCACTCTACTGTCCTTTCCATCCCTCTCATTGCAAACCGGTTCATCTCCTTATAATTCGCTTTGGAAGTATATTTTTTGGTCCTGAACTACGTAATTCTAGATTGTTTGATGTTATACAACCACAATCCTCCTGACGGTTTAACGCCTCAACGTGGCTGGGAGGTGTTCCTGGGTGTCGGACTGCGATGTACAGCAGGGAAATTCGTCCACTCGGCAAGGTCTCCCAAGCTGAGAAGGAGTCCGGCGTCTCCATCAGGATGCCCAGCTAAGAGTAAACCAATAGCAGGATCCACCATAATCCTAGTATCAAAGTAGCATGGTGGTAAATATCCCTCTGATCCACAAGGACTGCGACTGCCTGTGGTGGTGACTGGGGGCAGACTGAGGTTAGGCTGACCTCGGGATTCCAGGGAACCACAATGGCTTAACCAGCAAATTTCCGATAAATGGTGATTATGCTGGAGCCCCCACAACCAGTGAGGAAGGGCCGTTCAAATATCAAGTATACAACCACAATGATGTTGAGATCTTTGCAAAAGTCGGACATCGAGCCAGATTCCAATCAGAGATTACCCGTATGATGTTATATTCGATAACGATGTGAAGGTTGACATTTCTTCTGGACTTCATTATTTATTTGAAAAACAATTCAAGTGATAAATAAAATATCAGTACTAGAGGCTAAAAATCTTGGAAACAAGGAATTCCGTGATAATCTTGAATATGGAGCGCGTCTACTCGCCATGGCCTAGTCGTTCTTCTTCACTTTCAATCTTTTCTTTAGATCCCATCAGAAATATTCTCACTAATAATAGGCTTGTTTATATAATTCATTTAAAAATGTTTACGTCTTTTATTGACATCATTTGGAAATGCTATAGAAAGCTTAAATTTAAAGCCTACTTCCAGCGGGCAGCGTAGAGCGTGAAGGATTTTCGCCAAGGGATTGTGGTGGAATTTTAGCTAAGGCCGCCAGATGGGAAGTCCCACTGCGCCACCATTTTTTATGGTCCCGAAATGGGATTTCTAATCTTAGATTGTTCGCAGATGTATACTTGGTTTAAAAAACAAACAATGATTGGAGTAACACAATACAATACAACGCTAGCTGACGTTTCGGCAGTATCGCCTTCTTCAGAGCCGCTTTTTCATGACTTCCAATGAGGAAGTTTAGAACAGCTGATTATAGTCGCATGTGGTTGACGCATGTGGTAAACTTCCTCATTGGAAGTCACGAAAAAGCGGCTCTGAAGAAGGCGATACTGCCGAAACGTCAGCTAGCATTGTATTGTATTGTGTTTTTCAATGGTTGGAGTACTAAACTGTCGTTGATTATGATATCACATTAAAATTCACCCACAACAACTGCTTAACCTAATATCTTTGTGCCTGGGTGCTTCTATGCATGCATGCCGAATTTTTAGCTCCATATTTTTATACATCTGCTCAGTGCATATCACATCATCCTCAAGCGACCACTCGATCGACTATCGTCATTGAAAAATCGTAGGCTCAAGGTAGCTATTCTCCTGCCAATTCATAAGCGCCTACATATCACAGTGCCTGTAAACGTTCATGAAATTCTACTTCGGGACCATCATATGAGGAACAAATTGTTTGACCAGTAATAAACAAGCCTCACTACCAGGCTCAATGGGCGGTCCAGTCAATGAGGTCGTGTGGCTAGATAATCAAAGCCAGGTCATCAAATCTTGAGTTGTATACGGCCTCACTGGAAATGGATCAAGCGAATACGTCCACGACACACGAAGGATCTTCGAGCCCTTTTTGAGGCCACAGGTGAGATCAAACTACACATGACAACCCTATAGAAGACCAAAAGAGAGGAGTTCGAAATATATCAACTAAGCGACAGTTCAATTTCTATCCGTGGAAAAAGTGACGCATCATAAATTAGGGGTAGGAGCAGTGAGCTTTCCGTAGATCAATTCTTTATCTTCCTCGTCTCGTCCTTTTCTTTCACCTCGATCGGTCGTTCTCCATCCTCATTTCATGTTCCAAAACCAGATCATCAATTGATGCATGGAAACTGCGCAGATAATAAAATCGAATTACACATGTTTTATAAATAACTTGGGAATGAGATCAGCAATAAGAAATTCTCGGATAAACTTGTAGTCTTGCACACCAGATTAAGAGGCGCCAGAAGAAGCGAATATGCAACTGCGAAATATGAATCAATAGGTTCGAAACGAGGAGGCTGAAAAAAAACCCTCTCATTGCCAAAGAAAAACATAGGTGGTACGCGATGAAGATACTCTAGGCGACATACCTTCTATGGCATGACTGGCGAACTGATGGAGATCTAGCCGAGGAGTGCGCGATGATCTCAGAAGAATTCGAGAATTGTGCAGAATGGTCTTCAATCGTTCAATCAGAAATTTGTATCCCATTTCCATTACCATTATTGTCGGAATCAAAAAGGACAGAAATAGAAGGATAAAGCTCCCGGCATTGATCAATCCCTGAGGGATGCGCCATGCATTCAACTTCATTAAGCATCGTTGGTGACTGAATGCATATCTGGGCTTTAAAACGACTCGCAGTGGTTTACCGATGTATCCAGCCAATGCTACTATCCTCCCAGACAAATCTGGTGCCAATTTGCCGACCCCGGAGGAATGGAAGGCCTGCTGGACCATGGGCGCGGCTACAGAGCTCACGTGTGCTGCAGGGGTACCTCCGACCACCTGCACACGCGCCCTTCAACATCGAAAACATAGGGAAACTAACTATTTCGGTGTTGTAAAAATAATTGTCTGTTCCAAAATAGGGTACATTAGATTCTACACATTTTTCTCAGCAATACCGAAGTTTGCTTATTCTAGTAGCTTAGAGTTTCCAAGTTTTGCAAGCAACGAATACCTAAAAGACAAAATTAGCAGTTGCTTAGTTAATGAGCATTTTCTTAGCTCTTAGTCTTAGTTATCCGGATGAATGAGGAAACGCTATTGGTTGGCGAAAGCTTTAAAGGAGTATGCCAAAGAATGCAGAATTTTGTGATTCAACTTCTTTAGCTTCTGGCGTAGCAGTTGTGCATCGTGGTGATCGAAAACTATCGTGGAAGAGAAAGGATATTTCCCGTTGGCCACCTCAACGCGCTTGTTAACATTCCTGAAATATTTCGAAACCGAGTCGGTGTGACTAATCAATATGTATTCTTTCTTTAATGAGTTTATACGAGGTTGATAGATATATTTATTTTCGGCTAACGTTTCGACGTCTTCGTCTTCATCAGAGCCAATGATCCGAGTCGATGGCCCACGCTTGTTCTTGAGGGGCATTACCGAGTAAGTATGCCTCATTCGAGAAGATGGCTCGTTGAGGAAGATCTGGCTCGACAGGAAGGCGAAGACGCAACGTCGAGGCGAACAACAAGCATGGACCATCGACTCGGATCACCGGCTCTGAGGAAGACGAAGACGTCGAAACGTTAGCCGAAAATAAATATATTTATCAACCTCGTGCAAGCTTATCAAGAAAGAATACACACTATTGAGACACTCCCACGTGATAGAACGCAAAAAGTATTGGGGCCATCACGCTGCTACCTGTGAAATAATACATTAAATTTTGTTTTAAATTTCGTCCGTTCATAAAGCTACCAGTTTTTTAAAAATGACTCAACATCATCAATTTTGTGAACCCCAAGATTTTTTTTCATTCGGATCATTTCACTACATCTACCATCCACGAAGGTCTTTGGAGTTTCCTGTGTATTCGGCTATTGAGGATTTTGGTTCTTTCCATTAATGCCTTTGAATGCCACTCCAGTAGATTTCCATTGGAATCCTCAGATATCCGTGCTATAGCGTTCTCAGCTCGTCACCACAAACAGTCGCCAGCCTTTCTGGACTGGAACTTCTCCATGAGCTTGGGTTTTCACTCACATTGTTGTCTTGAATGTACTTATTACGACTGTACATGGACTAAGATTGGTTTGAGCAATTTCAAACCACCATGACGGTTAACGGGTGCAAGAAAAGGAACCGAATGAAAGAAGCGATGGTATCAACACCATATATGCTACAGTTACACGTAAATAACGAATAAGAAGAAGTTTTGCAACTGGAAGGAATAAGAGCAGAAAAAAGAACAAGGCCAAACATGAAAAGGTTGCTGTAAAAAGGCGAAGAAACGATTGAATGCATAGTACATACAATAAATACAAAAACATTATTATTCCAATCGTTTTAAAGCTAAGAACAACATAAAATGGTGATTTCAGCAAAGTTAAGTCAGTTAATAAAGTGTTGCAAAGGAAAAGAAAGGTAGTACGATAAAGATTTGCTTTCCCCACGGTTTTCGCCGAAGGCCTCCTAATGGTTTACCGCCTTATCGGGGCTGGGAGGTGCTCCTGGCTGTCGACCTACGGTGTACAGCGGGGGATTTGTCTACCCGGCAGAGTCTTCCAAGCCGAGGAACCCGGCGTTTCCACCAGGAAACCCAGCTAAGAGTAAGACCTAAGTTAAGAGTTAAATTAGTTAGTAAAATGTTTCAAAGAAAACTGCTCAATGAAGATTTGTTTCCCCTATGGTATTCGCTGAAGGAGCACATACCGCATGCACACAAAATGATTTCCGCCTTTGCAACCACTGGTGTGTCACAATGTGATCCACCGATGAACTGACTGAATTGTGATTTCAACACTACGGTTCATCACAGCCTACGCAATATTTCAGCAGAAACAAAAGCATACACACAGTCACATAGCGAAATAAATCGTTATATGATTAAGTCCTCATAAAGACTCATAGTTTTTTCACAGAGCATACGACGGTCACGCTAGAGCTGCAAATAGGTCTCGAGAAAAGGAAGGTTCGGCAAAGGTAGTCAACTATTTCGGATTGATCAAATTTGAATTGGCACGTCGTTTGTTACAATTGTAGTTCATTGACATCATCAGAAAAGAATAGCTGAGCCGCCGCAGCTTTGTCGTCGTCATTCGGTGGATCCATTAGTTCCCAATATACCTTAACACATTCCCGACGATGTTAATTTTTTCGATAGGTTCCGATAATTTGATTAGAACATTTTGGAGTCTAATAACTTGATGAACATATAGAAGAGATATCGAAAGAGTAGAAAAAACTACCAATGTAGCAAAAATTTAACCTCGTAGGTAAAAGGTGCACATTCAAAAGGGCTTTATTAAAATTAATAAAGCTCGTCCAGAGCTGAGATATGTATGTTTAACGACCAAAGACCCAGTTATTTCTGATCACAAAGAGCTTTATATGAAACACATACAGGATGTGTTAAATAACTTGCAATAGGACTTCTAATGGAGTTCTTCACTAAACGCCATGAAGTACGAAACTGATAAGCCAACCTTTACAGTTTTCTTCAGCCACCAAATCTTCTTCCAAGAGTCAGCGTCTGCAATTGGTTTGTGCAATGAATTTCGCCAACCATTCCGATGCCAAATTGGCAGCCAGTTCTCAGATGCCAGAATTAGACGGACGGAGTTCGTACGCACGACAATATGTTTGAATCCCACAGAAGTGGCCTAGAGCGATTACCTGTCGGTGAAATTCTACTGTTGTGTTATTTAAATACCCACCTTCTCTAGTATGTTAATAAGCCCATGATGAATCTTTCCTTGTACCATACTGATATCTTCCGCATCACCACCGTCTGTCTCCCATATGATTCCTCCGCGCTTATTCATATCCTTCTTGAAAATTCTTACTTTTGCAGTGCTAAATTGAAGTTCATGTCCAGTTTTTTTCAAAAATGTAAACATGTAATGAATCTACCTTGAATCAAACAGTGACCCATCCGAAACTACTTCTGATATATCTCTCTTATACTCCGAACGGTCTTTGCCCACAAGTGGAAGATCTATTGCCTCGAAGCACTTATCGATAGCCTCTGACCACATACTGTTATCTGCTTGCGGCGCTTCATAACGGAAGCGCACCTTTGAAAGAAGAGTATAGGAAGATCAAATATAAAACATGGGGACTTATATTAAAATTTTAAACATTTCACTGACTTCTGTATCGGATTGTGTAAGATCCCTTATTCGATCGTAAAGAAACTTGTTTGGAACAGGAGACCCGGTTGTTTTTAACCATCTAAACAGGTGCTAAGATACTGAAAACCATGAGGTAATCATGTTCTCGAAACAATCACAAACCCCTTTCGCCAGTTCAAAAGGAATGCTTGTGAATCAGTCACTACGACGACACGCGGAAGGCGATTATCAACAGCCTGCAGTGGTGGCAGAAAGTAAATGAAAATTACATTAAGGAAAATCGCACCAGACTGGCCTGTCTGAGTGCCTCTTCGATAGCAGCTAATTGCGCTCGAAAAAGAGTCACTGGCATCATTGCAAGTCGATGCATTGTATTCTGTCCACAACGCTTGTCTGACCAAACGGTAACGTAAGATGCTGAGTTGAACCCTGGAAATGGAAACCATGTTGTATGACATGACGTGTCGTAGGTGCATTCATATCCTTTTATATGTGCTATACAATGGTAATAGCCCATGCCTACGGGGCAGTAGGAATGTTGGGATCTGGAGAGCTTTCAAAAGTAGGTAGGCCGATTCTCAAACGTGATCAACAATGTGGTTTCAGAAAGGTTATTTTAGCACTAATACTTATTCAGTTTGTTACACTGTCCTGAGCGAAAAAGCAAGCCTTCTTTTAAATCACAACGGCTTGTGTGTACTTGTGATGAAAACTTACGAACGAGCTGTCATGACTATCTTGGAATCACAACGGAAATCACGCTCTACTGGCGCTCAGCATACGCACATAAAATTTGTTATAGGATTTGAACGGCAATAATACACCCATGACAGACTATGGCGACTGCCTCCGATTTTCCGCATAGTAGGCCAAAATCTTGATGCTGCAAACAAGAGAAGCGTGTAACGCAGTGGTCGGAGGCACCCTGCAATACTTACGGGATGCCCTGCGTCCCAGGTTCACCAAGCGCTCCATCCCTCCGGGGTCGACAAATTGGTAGCAGACTTGTCTAGGAGGATAGCTGTACCAGCTCAATACACCGGCAGGCCACTGCCAATCATTACGAAGGCCAGATATGCTTTCAATCACCTCCAACGATGCTTAATAAGGTCAAATGTTTGGCGCATCCCTCAAGGATTGATCAACGCCAAAAGACTTATCCTTTTTTCATATTATCGTTGACTATTATTACTTGAAGCATGCGATTGTGCGAAAACCTACGGTAATTTGTCCACCCTAAGCGAGATCAGCACGCATCCTAAGAAAGTTTGTTAAATGCAAGTCAAGAATAAGATAAGGCTGGCGCTCAGTGAATCATAAAAAGATAGGAGTATAGATCTGAGGAAAGCTCAGTCCATATAGAACGCATAACGTGAAGAAGGACAAATCATTCATTGCTCTACGTGAACACTGGTCATCTAAATGATAAATAACCACGATATTAAAGTGCTCTTACCATTGTTCGAGGATTTACACATTGCCATAGTGTAAACAACAGGCCAATCGTTTGAGGATGTAGTAGCCATTTCACCATTTGTGTTCATTTCATCGCCAACTTCACAGTGAAGACATGAAACAAAGATTGCCAATATTTATTCCCTGTTAAGCTAAGAGACGTACCAGCAAAATTATTTGTCGACAACGAACTAGACGACTTAAAGTTTTCTCCTTTAAGTATGTTTTCAATCACATAGTTAGGCTTTTTATCCTGAACAGCAGGGCGATATCTGAAGATGACCTGGAAGACGATCGAAATAGATGTGTTTAAACCTAACCGGTGATTAGGAATCAACAGTACAGCGATACTCACATCAGTGTCTCTTGACAGCTTGTACAATTCGTCCAACAATTGTGCATTCTTCATCTTTGGGCCATAATATGAATGAAAGTCCCTATCTGCATAAATTTTTAACGTACTTCGAAAACTTTTTGGGCAGTTATAGTCCGTGTAGAGAAGCAACTTTTTGTCACTAATAGTTTCTCGTGCCTGAAATTCTCAGGTTTTAAGCACTAGAAGTCTTTTTTCTGACCGCCAGAATGGTTCCACACCGAATTCGCTAACAGGTGAACACAGCACTACTCCCAGTACATCGCAATTCAAACCGGCAATTGAAATCCCAGGTCCTGACAGCTACGAGAAGTGAAGACATATGTCCATATATATACACTTTATCATTTTTATTTACTATCTACTTATACTATTATATTTGCCAGTTTATACAAATATGTATCCTGCCAACGGTTTACCGCCTCATCGTGGCTAAGAGGTGCTCCCTGTCGGACTGCGATGTACAGCTGGGATTCATCCCCTGGCAGGGTATCCCAAGCTGATAAGGAGTCCGGCGTTTCCATCAGGAAGCCTAGCTAAGAGTTAACCAATAACCAATACTAGGGTCCACCATCGTTCTGGTATAAAAGTCGCATGGTGGGAAATCCCCTCTGATCCACAAGGGCTGCGACAGTCTGTGGTGGTGAAGACCTGGGGTAGACTTTGCTTAGGCTGACCTCGGGATTCTACAGAACCACAATGGCTTAACTAGCAAATCTCCAAAAAATAGATGTCATGCTGGGGCCCGCACAACCAGTGAGGACGGGGCATCCAAATATACAAATATACATGTACATATACATGTATATGTACATATATATATATATATACATATATATATGCATGTATATACTTGATGCTTGATACTTCGGTGGACTTGAGACGGGGCATCCAAGTATACAAATATGTATACATATGTATATATACACATGTATATGTACATCATCCGTTACCTGCCACCTGTAGTCCCGTTGATCATCGAGTGACTCGAGCGGGCGCCAGTAAATCTTACATTTTTTCCTGTCGCGCGCAAGAGTAGCCCAGTGGGTTCTGCTCGCTCTAGAGACTCGTCCAGCACCATATCTTTCTTCAAGGCTCTTTGTGAAGAACTCTGGCCATCAGGTCGGTGGTCTTCCTGCAGTACGTTTGACATCCCGAGAAATCCAGTCCTTAACGGCTCTTGTCCATCGGTTGTGATTCATACGCACGACGTGTCCGGCCCATCTTATCATCGACTGTTTGGCGTACAGAACGGCATCTTTGATTTTTGACCGTTGACGCAGATCGGAGCTTCGGATCTCATCGCTTACTTGTGTGGAACGGGATACTCCCAGCATCGTCCTTTCGACTGCACGTTCGATAACGCTGAGTGATCTTCAATCCTGCTTACGCAGCGACCAGGTTTCTGACACATACGTTAGAGCAGGAAATACCGTTGAGTCGAAAAGGTGGCCACGGGGCCATGTGTTCTTTGTTCTCTTCACTATATCCTCGCTGCTTCTGAAAGCTCCCCAAGCCGCTCGTTTCCTTCTGCTCTGCTCTGGAGCTAGGTCGTTCATCATATTGATTTCCCGAGACAGACAGACATAACTGGAGCATTCAGAGATATTTGTTCCGTTGAGCGTGAATGGGCATGCGAAACCATTCCGTTCTTCATGAACATCATTTTTGTGAGATTTAGTCGAAGACCAATCTTTCCACACGCTTTATCCAAGTCGTTAAGCATTAGTTCCGCTTGGCTAATGCTTGGTGTTATAAGGACGATGTCATCAGCAAAACGAAGATGGTGTAACTACCGACCATCTATTTTCACTCCCATATTATCCCATTTCAATGTTCGCATGGCTTTCTGGAGGGTGGCGGTAAATGGTGATTTTGGCGAGATGCTATCACCTTACCTAACTCCTCTTTTGACGTTAATGTTAATATCGTTGTAGAATGGTGATATCTTGGTTGTGAAATTTTTGTACAGCTCACGAAGATTCTTTATGTACTGAGTAGGGACTCTTTGACTATCAAGGGCTTCCAAGACTATGTACACATATATATATATATGTATATATATATATATATATACTTGATACTTGACATTCGGATGGACTGTCCTCGCTGGTTGTGGGGGTCCCAACACAACCTCCACTTTTTCGCAGTTTTGCTGGTTTAGCCATTGTGTTTTCCTAGAGCCCGACGTCAGCCAGGCCAAAGTCTGCCCTACGTCGTCATCACCATAGGCAGGGACCGCCTTTGTGGATCAGTGGGACTAGTTTGGTATTAGGACGGTGGCGGATCCTGGTATTGGTTTGCTCTTAGCTAGGCTTCCTGATGGAAATCCGTACTGCTTATTAGCTTGGGAGACCCTTCCAGGGTGATGAATCCCAGCTGTACCTAGGAGCCCGACATCTAGGAACACCTCCCAGCCACGATGGGATGGTAAACCGTTGGGAGAATATATATATATATATATATATATNATATATATATATATATATATATATGTATATATATATATATAGTGGCTCATGCAGCGACGCTGTAGAGGTGCCCTGCAGTAGACATGGGTTCGCGCACCAGACTCACCAAGTCTTCTAGCACTTCGTGGTCGGCAAATTGGCATCAGAGTTGCTGGGGGGATAACAGCACTGACTCAATGTATGAGTGGGCCACCACGACTCAATTGGCCAGATATGCATTCAATCACTTCCAACGATGTTTGATGAAATCGAATGCACAGTGCGTACTTCAGGGATTAACACCGAGAGCTTAATGCTACCCAATGCGCATTAATTTGTTGTTTGTAACTGAATATGCGTCAGCAACGAAAACGACACTGACTCACAATGCGTACGGCATCTATTATTGCCATTAACATTGCGGCAACATGTGTTACGCCGGGCACTTCACGAATGACATTGCGCGGGTCGTCTGGCCCCCAGAATATCCCGTATTTAGAGATACGTCCTGAAGGTGTCATAAACGAATATCCAGTTGTGAAGACTTCTTGAACACTGAAATAATAACATGTTACTATGCATAAATGAGCCAATCAGTGATCCACACCTTTCTGTCGATTTTGTAGCAGTAGAACGAATATGAAATCTTGCCAACCGAAATATCAGCGGTCTAGACAGCAAAATTGGAGCCAATGGTGAAGACATTCTGCCCCACTCCGCTATGCCAGGAAGGAAATGTAGGCTGAAAATCCAGAAAATGAACAGACACCATCCATTCATATGCTACGCTACCCCGCGAACACGGCTTATAACAGCGGGAAATTGCCGTACTAACGGATCTCTGGCTATAAATGTACGACACATGTGCTTCCAAATCACTTCTTCGTTCGCATTGCTAAAGTCCCCTCATAAGCGTTGGGCCTTAAATTTATCCTTTTGTTCTTGTTCGACATATTAAGACACCGTTTGGTAGCAGCAATGATAACACTGAAACTGTCATAACCTAGGTAGTTAAAGAATCCCTCCCAACGGCTTACCGCCTCATTGTGGTTGGAAGGTGTTCCTGAATGTCGGGCCACGATTTACATCGAAGTGATTCGTCCTCACGGCAGGGTCTCCCAAACTGAGAAGTTCGGCGTTTCCATCAGAAAGCCTGGCTAAGAGTAAACCAATACCAGGATCCACCACAGTCCTGGTACTAAACTAGCCGCTTGGTGGCAAATCTCCCTCTGATCTACAAAAGCGAGGACTGTTTTTGGTGGTGATGATCTGGGGCAGACCCTTGCTAGGCTGTCTTCGGGACTCCACGGAACCACAATGGCTTAACCAGCAAAACCCCAAGTAAGTGGAAATTATGCTGAGGCCCGCACAACCAGTGAAGATGTGCCATCCAAGTATTCAAGTAAGCTAATGCATTCAAAAACTTTTATTAGTTGCAGACAGAACGACTCCAGTATCGGTACTGAAACTACACAATCAAGAGAATGCAAGTGCCCAAATTGTTTATGAACTCCAGTAAAATACAATTGAACAAACGACCTAAAGGTTGGGAACACATGCTGCTTAAATAAAATGAAATACTGTGAAAAAACTAGATAGAACAATCATGTGATCTGTCTTGGGAATAATCGATGGATCACATGTAAAACACAAGAAAGGAACCATCGACTTGATGATGAAGGCTGTTCAGATAGACTAAACAGAGAACATCCCGTTCTAATGCCACTTCAGCGATTCAGAAGAAGCGCTCTCTTGTGATAAATACAAATGGAGGTGCTTGAGTAACTCGACAATGAGTGGGAGGGCTACTGACACAAATGACTTCATATAATTGAAGATAATGTGGAGGTTTCAATAAATTCCATAACATGAAACAAATTCGCATATCACATCCGAAGTATTTCACTGCAGTGTTGCTCTCTGAACCGGTTTTCCGAACACACAACAACGTCCCTTCGACTGAGCACGCTCCCGCGCGACCATTTTAACCTCGTTAGAGTGTCGTCATCCAATAGGCAAAGTCTCACCTAAAGAAAAAACGCCTTCGAAAACGAATCCCAATAGGACATGGAACTAAAAATATTTCCTAAATAAGCCAACAATAATGTTGCTGAGATATTTGCAAAACTCCGGACAGCTATTGTCTGCGGTGGGGACCGAACACGCAATTACCCTTTCCGGGAGCTAAAGCGTTCACCACCACACAATGCGCGTCTTTAGTTTCACCTTTCTCTTAGCCAGATCAATCCCGTTGACGGGTTATAGCTGATACCACCTATAGGTCAATAACACGGCTGAGCGAAAGGAGAGACGAAGAACTCTCATTGTGTGATGGTGAACGCGTTAGCCCCTTAAAAGGGTAACAGTGTGTTCGCTCCCCACCGCACGCACCAGGGGTCCGGAATTTTGCAAATATCTCAGTATCACTAGGGTTATACTTCACATAATACCCTGCCATTGTAAAAGAATAGGCGGTAAACAGAAAGTGACGACACTGTAATTCAAACCAACAATATCTCTTCAACCAATAGTCTTAACTATGGCACGATATCAAACCATCATGTTAATCAGCATAATCTACCACAACACGGGATTTCAAGAGCAGATGGCAAAGATATAGGCAGTAAATGCTACTTATAACAGAGGAACCTACACAGGTGTCGCAACCGTCTTGGGTCATTCCAGTCCTTCTCTGTATGCTTTTAAACAATCGAGCTTCCTTCTTCGCTTTGTATAAACCATTTCCTACCTTCACAATAATTTCATTAGGCGAATATATCACTGCATGTGATACCCGGTGGGACATTGCCTGAATCAGTTATTAGTCAGTGCGACAATTACAGTGATAGCACGAGAAGAAGGGTTTAATAACAAAAAAAACGCACACTGGCGATGGCGTAATAAACAGCTTTCACTTGTACTGTGTACATATTGTCGCTAGTATCGAAATGAATACTACAACTCCTATAAAGAAAGACGTTTTACTATGTCTTGACGCTGGTTCCTGGTTACCCAAATGATTTGTAGAGTTGAACAAAAATTCCAGAAAATTTTTCTGCAACATCAAGGTTAATATACTAAGACAACAAAAGCAACAACAAATGATGCTGATGCACCACTGAGGCCCTTGCTTTCCATTTCTCTCAGCCAGTTTTCTACCTAAAAATATCGCAAAATAACCTTTCAGGATTTTGCAACCAACGAATGAGGCCATTCGCTCGTACATCGAATTCGTCTGTTTGGCCATCGACAATCAATTTCGGAGCACTGTAATATCACAAACTGTTATCTCCCAAGTGCATAAAAATTATAATTCCAATATATATCGTACGAAATCCAAGGCCTTTCATTGTCATACATACGGCGCTCTTCCTGTGAAAGGATACGAGTAGACGCTGTCTTCCGAAGCCACGAAAGAGCCATATCACTAAAACACGTCTTATGAACACATGTCACGTCAAATAATGCTGAATTTCTCACTAACAATTCATTTGTGGGAATCTTGACAGATAATTTCACCGGTAGCTGACATAAAGTAGCCAGCGATGGGAACATGAGCAGAGCAAAAAGACGTCATGAACTAAACACCTGCAAAAACGACATTGCCCTCAAAAACGATATGGCTCAGCCAATAATGTGGCGAAGGATTTGCTATAAGAACAACGAAATCAGAATTTGGCAATTGAATTGGACCATAGGGAGAACAAAACTCGACGGAGAAGTAGACAAGGTCGGCTCAAAATACTTTATCTGTGGTAGAAATTCGATCAATTACTATTTCACTGCACTGATACTACGAATTATTCCGATACATACTGGCGCCACGTCTTGCCATTTCATCGGCTGCCTCGTTGCCGGATACACCGCTATGGCCAGGAACATACTCAAATTTCACCTGTAAAAATAGCAACTTCTATGCATAGTTATAGATACATACGTTATATGTATACATAAATATATGTGCATATATATATATGCATTATAAAGGACAAAGCTCTCGGCGTTGATCAATCGCTGAAGGATGCGCCATGCATTCGACTTAATTAAGCACAGAGGTGAATGGATACATATCTGGCCCATGAGTCTCGGTGGCTCACCGATGTGCTGAGTCAGTGCTCCTGTCCTCCTTGACAAGTGCGGTGCAACGGTCCGAGGCGCCCTGCAATACACACATGGGATCGATCTCCAAGCCGGTGGCTCACCAAGCCTTCCATCACTCCGAGGTCGGCAAATTAGTATCATACTTGTCTAGAAGGATAGCACCACTGGCTTGATACATGGGTAGGCAACCGCGAATCATTGTAAAGCCCAGATATGCATTCAATTACCTCCAACGATGTTTAATGAAGTCGAATGCATGGTGCATCCCTCAGGGATTGATCGATGCCGACAGCCAGGTTTATCCTTTATATATACACATGGATACGTACATATACACGTGTACCACAGGTATACAATGATGCTAGACATTAGTTAAATCCGACACCAGGGATACTATGGGAACGCATGCAACCTACCCATTTATTTATACTTCAACAGCCCATCTTCTCACGAAGAATCGGGCGGTACCCATGAAAATTTCTGTTTAACTGGTAATTTTTTCATTGGGCAAGATTTCCTTTTCGTCAAGTTCCAAGAACCATGTAAAATCTTCCTCATTAAATTACTATTTACCACCTATTAACCATTTTGTTTGCAGGATGGTAATGAATACCACACAGGTTGAAAGGCATTGCTGTAGGAGGAAACCTTCTGCTAGACATCGCAATCCGATATCCATAAAAACTAATGCCCAAATTCACAATGTAGTGATACAACATTGTGGTGATTACCACGTAGAACACAGTAATGGTCTACAAAACACTGACTGTGGCAATATAATGAATAACCATGTCCAAAAAACTTGGAAATATTAGTACCAGATCAGCGAAGCCTTCCATCTCCCTGGGGGAAACTGGTACGAACAGCTCCATCTACGAAGGCTAGTAACTACCTCTGGCTTAGAAATGGGAACGTCTTATCACAGAGCTACCCCTTGATTCTAGAGAAGATCTCGATTAGCAATCAACGACGTTAATGAAGAAAACAAATTCCCAGAATTCTTTATAAACTACATCTTATATCTCTGTCTTAAGCAAATTTTTATCTTAGATTAGATGTTGTTTATTAAAATAAAGAGCGGTCAGAGTAGATCATACCGTCGTCTGGTGCAAGAAATGCGCTAATCCGCTCCGCTATTTAGTCGCCATTGTATGGGATCAGCTAGCTTATTCTAATTCACACGAGATAATGACTGCCTGCAATGAAAATCCAAGGATACCCTAACACCGCTATACCATGGTTTGAAGTAGAATCGACTCGATCATAATCCATCAACATTTATAACGAGAACTGCGTATTTTTAGGAAGCAGCCGAACCAACACACTAATCCGAAGACCTCCGTGGATAATAGATACGTGGAAACAAATCGAGCGCAATAAGAGCCGGGATCCGTTTTGAGATCACGTGACGTCAGGTCATAAAGAATAAGGAAACACCTTTTTAAAAAAAATGGTTAGACGTCACATATTGCGCCGATCTCAGCACTTTTCTCACTTTGTTTCTCGTCTCGCGCCAGTCATTCGCAGTTTTTGAATTATTTAGGTGGGTTCGGCATCCAGTTAAGGAAATTGCCTTCCTTATGATTCAACGTTAGCTCTATTATAACATTCTCAAGCAGCGACCATTCTCTCATGGATGGAAGAGAACCATTCCAAAACTAATCTGGCGGCATTTCATCGAGCTCGAAGTGAAGAAACTCCTAGTTAATCTGAAGCAGTTTGCAATCATCGAACTACTTGCGTTTTCCATAAATTATAAAGCAGCCTATATTAGCCGGCGCGTGTGGCGCAGTGGTCGGAGACCACCTGCAATACACATGCGATCATTCCCGCCTCCCTTGCCCACCAATCTTTTCATCCTTCCGGGGTCGGCAAATTGGTACCAGAATTGTTTGGGAGGATAACTGCATTGGCTCCATACATCGGGGCCACCACGAGTCATGGTAAAGACCTGACATGCATTCAATCACCTCCAACGATGCTTAATGAAGTCGAATGCATGGCGCATCCCTCAGGGATTGATCAACGCCGACAGCTTTATCCTTTATAAAATAGCTTCCCTCAACATAAAATAGCCTGACGCATCACTAGTAGAGAAGATATCGCTATAACAGAAGCCGAAAAAATTTGTATACTTCCTATGGCCTTCCTAACATCAGAATAAGGGTGGAAAATATGCACAAGCACTTAGAATTCAACACAACGTATAACGTTACCTTTGCCCTAAGAATGTAAAAACAAATGTTTGATGAATCGTACATGAAGTTTGCGAGTGCTTGCATCAATAGAACGCAAGAGATCCTGATTCTTTACTTCTCCACCAGATGAAGTCTTCCAGGAATTTCTACAAATATTCCTTTTAACAAATCTGGAATCTCTGCAAGAAAACTGAGAAAAGAACTTTTTCCATTTTTCCATATAGACGTCCATTGACTTAATCAATAATTGCGAATCAGTTCGAACCACAATACACGGAATTTTGTTTCTAATAGCCTGAAAAAGCCCAGATCTTCACATAAATAAATAGGTAAACAAATAAGTAAGTGAACAAATATATATATATATTTATATATGCACAGAGATACCTGCTTTAATGCTATGTCCACAGCTAGCAGTTCTCCCCTATTGTTTGTTTGTGCACCATGAACACAACCATAAGTATTATCTTCATGGCCCGGTCCCCAATAGATACCATAACCTGCCTAAACCAATTAATTTAACACACGACTCTTCAAAGTGCTTTCCTAAATTCAATCTACCAAATACTTTTAAACGTGATGTTCTGAAACTTCCTATTTGTGGTCTATAACTAATGTGGACAATTCGAAGAATATAGTCTGGGTTTCTATACTCTCGTCACTCTCTCGTACACAAGAAGGGGGTGCGTAAAACGTAATATTCCAATCCCTCCCAACGGTTTACCACCTCATCGGGGTTAGAAGGTTTTCCTTCGTGTCGGCCCGCGATGGAGGAAAGATTCATCGCCCTGGCAGAGTCTCGTAAGCTGAGAAGGAGTCCGGCGTTCCCACCAGGAAGCTCAGGTAAAAGTAAGCCAATACCAGGATCCACTACCGTTCCAGTAGCAAACTAGTCGCATGGTGGTAAATCTCATTCTGATCCACAAGTGCGGCGACTGCCTGTAGTAGTGACGACCTGGGGTAGACTTTGGCCAGGCTGACATCGGTAATCCAGGAAATCACAGTGGCTAAAACACTAAAACTCCGAAAAAGTGAAGATTGCGCTGGAAACCGCAGGACAACGAGGGCAGGCCATCCAGGTCTCAAAGTAAGTAACATTCGAATCACTCTTCCAGCAATTAGTAAAAGGCAAGGAACCTTGAATTTTGCTTACAGTTGCCAGTAAATGATAATTATCTGTAAGATTTATGCCCATCACTTCTATAGCCTAATTATTTCTAGAGATATTGCCGCCCATTGCGTTTTGGTACATGTGCAAAACCAGCGACTTAGTTCAATAGAGTATCCAATATGGTGATAAGATGAATAGCACTATATGAAAGAAACAAATAAGAAATATTCAACGCTAAGCAATACTTTTGCTGTTCCTCGTCCGTTGTTTGGGCATGCACCATCGGTATAGACAACAACGGCATCTTTCCAAATTTCGGAATTACTGTAAAAACCACAAGTAAAAAATAAAAGGCCGTAGCAAACTGATCTTAAAAGAAAGCATTGGTCCCAAATATTGCTATTCACACTCGATACTACAGGGAGAATGTAGCATATCGTTAGAGATGTCTTGCAATACACAATAATTGCTTCTACTTTGCGCTGCGGTGGCAATCAAGCTGTCCATCCTTGCCGGTTCAGCGGATTGGTGCCAGACTTGTCCGGTAAGGCAAGCAATGACTTCACAAATTGGTAGGCTTTCACAGGTAACTGAATAGGCCAGATATACATTGAATGAGCTATAGGATACCTCAGTAGAATGTATGGTTCCTTGGCAACTGACTAGTCAGTGCCCGACGGCTCCTTGCTCCACACTACATAAACTAGCTTATTCTCTTATAAAAGATCCAATTTGGCTTTAAAAATACGTTCTCTAGTACCCGAGAAGGAGAAGGTGTATCACCTATTCGATGATCTTCATAAAAATGCTTTTACTGACACAGACGACACGATTGAGGGGATCTACATAGCTCACGTTCGATCTAGTTCTTGAATTTGCTGTCTAAGCCTACCACGAATAACCCATCTTATTGAGAACATTAAGGATCTTGGACAACGCTTAACCAGATAAAAAAAATGTAATTCCGATAAAAAGTCTGTTCTGAACCACGTGTGAACGGTAACTCTTACTAAAGCTTCAGGGATAAGGCGTTCGGCGTTGAGCAATCCCTGAGAGATGCACCATGCATTCAACTTTATTAAGCAGCTTAAAACGTTTATCACAAAGCACCGCTAGCCATTGGTCTGCAGGTGCTCTACACCTAGAAATACAAAACATCTTAAACTTTCGTAACGAAGAAATCTGATAGCATCGCATGAGAGATCACCTATAAAATGAGCAATCTGGATTATTGCCCACGTAAAGCTAGTGCTATTTATAGCTGTTATGAATTTCTGGATCCCTGCGAACGGTTTGCCGCCTCATTGTGGCTGGCAGGTGTTCCTGAGTGTCGGCAAGCGATGTACAGCGGAGGGTTTATCGTCGCGGTAGGGTCTCCTAAACTGAGGAGTCCAACGTTTCCATTAGGAAACCCAGCTAAGAGTAAACCAATACCAGGATCCACCACCCTCTTAGTATCAAAGTCGTATTGTGGTAAATATCCCTCTGATCCACAGGGACGGCGACTGCTTGTGCTGGTGACGACCTGGGGCAGACTTTGGCGAGGCTGGCCTCGGAATTCCAGAGAATCACAATGGCTAAACCAGCAAGATTTCGAAAAATAATAGAAGGCTTGCTGGAGTCCGCGCAGCCAGTGAGGACGGATCATCCAAGTAAAGAAGTAAGTAATCGAAATTTGCCACAATGAAAGCGTCCGATAGTATGCAAAACATATGAAGAGAGGTTATCTGGATACCCAAATAGAGAGGAGCCCAGATCAAACCAACTAACCAATCCTTCAATGTTTTTGGAGCTTGCTGGAGATCAGGCAACGATTCCGTAGTTCTTCGCTTTCGACAGCTCTTCTTGAAACAACTATACTCTAATTAATGAACCTTTTAGTAATTTATTGTTTTGTTTTTACACCAAACTCACACCTTACACCAAATGTTTTGCACCAAACTCACTTCTGACCTGAGAAAAACACCTAATGTTCACCAAAATCCTAATCTTAAGAATAATCGTGGCAACATTAGCTAGAACTAGTAATATAACACCACTCTGAGCACCTGTATACTGCTATCGCCAGCTGAGGTGGAACTCGTAGGATATTCCGCAGGTCTCCTCGAATTTCCGGACATACCTAAATTAACTATACCACTTTTTATTTTCTAGAACAAATGGACATCAAAACCTGCTGCTCCCTTGATATTTCTCTTTATCGTTTCAAAAACATTAGAAACTAGAGGCTTACACCCTAGCTGACAGTTGGCGATGAATGCGAGAGCTTCGCTTTCAGTACCGAATTTTCTATATCTAAACAAGTGGTCTACAAATGCAATCACATAAATACTACATACACCCCTGAAGAATAGTGGAAGGAAAAACACAAACTACAGAATCTACACCTAGCCGAAGGATATCCGCTGACTTCTGCACGACACTCAGCCCACGTAGTATAGACACCGACGTTGCGGCCTTTAGCAACTGCATAGAAACCATTTTTGGCCATATGATCTGAAGCATTTGACTGAAAAGTTACGACAGATCTTTGTGCAGTTCCGTAGCAACATTTTTCGCTAGAAAAGCACAAAAAGGATAAAGTTCTTGACGTTGATCTATCCCTGAAGGATGCGCCATGCACTTGACTTCATTAATAGTCGCTGGAGCTGATTGAATGCATATCTGGCCTATACAACGATTCTCGAAGAACTATCGATGTATTAAGCCACTGCTGCTATCCTCCCAGACAAGTGTGGCACCAATTTGCCGACCTGGGAGGAATGGAAGGTTTGGTGGACCTGCGGCGCGGGATCGATGCCATGTGTATTGCAGGGTGCCTTCGACCACCGCGCCACACGCACCCAGAAGAGCATATTAGCCTAAAAATAAGTGGTAGTGCTCGTTCAATAAATAGATTAAACGACAATAGTCAGTCACATGAAAAGGAAACATGTCATGTAATGGTGTACAAAAGTATTCATTGCCATTACTTGGAATATAACCACGTGAATATCACCAATACTAGAAAAGACATTTTCATTGCAACTAATACAGAACTGTGACCTATTATTTAGAATGGCAGGAGGTAGTAACCTATAAAGCAAAACAATTGGAACCAAAAAAGCCTGTATAATCACACTGCCTAGAGTGAAGCACAAAAAAGGAAGAGGAACAAAGAAAACTTAGAAATCATTTCTTCTTCCTTTTCTGAGGTGTTGCATCGCTACTTTCACTAGTAGACGCTGCAGATCTTTTCTGTGAACCAACAGACTCATCTAAATTCAGGATTTTGTTAAAAGAACGTCAAAAAGTTCAACATCAAGCGATTCATGAACAGCATTTCTGGATGCAAGCGACAAACAGCAAGAATACTATATTCAACCCAAATGAACCACCAAATTTTGCTTATCCCATCAACTGCAAGAGATGACAAGTGTTTATCACATTATAGCATGCAACTGACTTAGTAGAACTTCTTAAAAGCAAACCTATTTGCTTCAAAGTCTTTCCTTCAGCGAACATAGTAGCTGCCTCTTCACTATCGAACTTCTTGAATTTCGCACCTTTGAAGACCACCGTTTGCTTCTTGCACTCTTCCCAGGACGTGAATCTAAGATAAACTGTCAGTTACACTCATCACAACACATATTAGTGAAAAACCGACAATTGGACATTGTAAACTAAACTTTATGGCTAGTGAATGAATGCTTTAGCTTACACCCCTGTTGTGTGGCCTCGGGCAACCCCATAATACACGTCTCCTTTATCGTCCTTTTTCTTTGAAATTCCTCCGCTTCGTTTTAACTTCTCTTGGTCTCCGCTATTCCCTTAAAATAGATAAACAAACTTCTCAACATCAAAAGCACTTATTTTCCAAGTGCGTAAAAATTATAATCCCAATCTTAACCCTTTTATTTACTACCCTTTTCATTTTAATGGCAGGATATGTTGCGAAATATAACTCGCATATAATGCTGAGATTTTCGCAAAACTCCGGACCGCAGGTGTATGCGGTGGGGAACGAACACGCGGTGTTGTCCTTTCCGGGGAGAAGCGCACTTCACCACCACACCATCCGGGTCCTTCTTTTTGCCTGTCTCTCAGCTAGTTCTATTGATCTTTTCGCCATCAGCAATCACCCGTCAACGGGATTGATCAAAACGAAGGACCCGGATGGTGTGGTGATGAAGTGCGCTACTCCCCGGAAAGAACAATAGCGAGTTCGTTCTCCACCGCTTACACCTGCGGTCTGGAGTTTTGTAAATATCTCAGCGTTATTTACGAGTTATAATCCCAATATATATCGTATCCTCCCAACAGTTTACCGCCTCGTCGTGGCTGGGAGGTATTCATGGGTGTTTGGCTGCGATGTACAGCCAGGGGATTCATCCCCTGGAAGGGTCTCCCAAGCTCACAGCATATTGTGGTGGCGACCTGGGGCAGACTTTGGCCAGGTTGACCTCGGAACCACGAGGAACCACAATGGCTTAACCAGCAAATCGCCGAAAAAATGGAGGTTATGATGAAGCCCGCACAAGCAGTGAGGACGGTCCATCAAAGTACCTAGGTATGTTACCTGCCTTCACATGAAATGCAGATTGAGTTTTTTATTCGACTTGCTTTTTGAAATCCGTCGTCTATAAAGGACTATGGGTACGGCCGCTGAGGACCTTGTGTTCTCAGCAATTTGATGCCAATTTGCCGATACGGGAGGATGGAGAATCACTTGTCCTAGGTCCGGGTTGAACCATCGAAGACGCGAGTTTTGTACGGCGCTTCTTATTAGATCGTTTCAATCGGGTTTCTAGTGGTTAAATGTAAACTATTAAAAACGGTTGATCACAGACATGGAGAAAAGTCCTACCTTCCACTGTCCCATGGAAAAATTTGTTGAAATAGGCAACAGCTTCATCGAGGCTGTCAAATTTCTTATGAAGTGGTTGCGGATAACCATCAATCTGAAAATCTACATACATATATCAGTGCTATTGTATAGGACCGAAGCCATTTTGTTTTAACCTACATATTTTTTAACATCCTCATACTTATCGAAAACCCCGACGGTATAGCCACGTGCAACTGCATAATATTTCTCTTTGTTTGGTTCGGGAAAAACTACTGAAACAGTTCCTGATTAAGACTAGTCAACACACGAAGAATTAAAAGCAAACACATGAAATGGTAGTAGAATGAAGCTCTAAAAAGACATGTGTCAAGTGTTCCTTCACGGAAACCTCAGTTTGTCAATAAATCCATTTGATGTTCGGTAGACAAAACAGTAAAGGTTTTAAAGCTTGATCAGTGCAGCATCCTTCATATTAAGCAGATTTCAGTACTGACGGAAACAAGGAGTATTGACACCAAAACGTATGATTTGATCATAACTACAACTGTATTACAGGTACACTATTTAGTTTGCAAGGACGGATAGCATACATTGTCATCGGTTTGACAAAAAGGATAAAGGATAGCTCTCCTCGCTCTAAGCTAGGACAGCTCTACGGTCTTTGAGTTGATCAGTCCCTGAGGGATGCGCTATGCATTCGACTTCATTAAGCATCGTTGGAGGTGATACCCGGTGGCCTACCGAAGTATCGAGGCAGTGCTGCTATCCTCGCAGACAAGCCTGGCACTAATTTGCCGACACCGGAGAGATGGACGGGTTGGTGAGCCTGGTGCACGAGGATCGATGCCACATATATTTCAGGGCGCTTCCGATCACTGCGCTAGAGTGATTTTGTAACTATCCATTCATACAGTATTTCCACCAAGCAGATGAACCCTGCCTATGATATTTTTGACATGACACAGGCCCTTTCTATACGAGCAAAGACACGATATAGTATCGATAATGTAGAATTCCTGCCTTACTTGAAGATGAAGCAGCGGAACAGAAACTAGTTTTCGGAATTATTTCCACCACACGCTCAAAGACAGTGATAGTCAACTATTTCATACTTTAATTTGATTATTATGAATACCCTTCCCAACGATATTCCGCCTCATCGTGGATGGCAGATGCTCCTGGAGTGTCGAGCTACGATATACAGCGAAGGGATTCATCCCCAGCAGGATCTCCCAAATTGAGAAGTCCGGCGTTTCCATCTGGAAACCCAGCTAAGGTTAAACCTATACTAGAATCCGCCACTGTCCTGGCACCAAACCGCGTGGTGGCAGATCTCTCTCTGATCCAGAAGAGAGGCGACTGCCTGTGGTGGTGACGACCTGGGGTAGACCAAGTCAGGTCGACCTCGGGATTCTAGGAAACTGCAACGGCTAAACCACCAAAACTCCGAAATAGTGGAGATTGTGATGAGACCCACACAATCAGTATGGATAGGCCGTCCGAGCACCCAAGTATTACGAATACCTGGCCATTAAATTCTAAATACCTAAAGACAAAGATACATCATTACCTAAAAATGGAAGGCACAACCTGTAATATATGGCCTAGCAGTACGTGCCCCTAATTCTTCAACTTGCTCTCTAGAACATATTCACTGCTAACCTACACCTGTAAAAACTGAACAACCCTTGTCCCCAATGTTACAATGAGTCGGAGCGCCGCAAGAAGGTAGCTAGAAAATCACTGCTTTCAAGTAAGCATTACTGAGTAATAGTCTGTATGAGTGGTAGAAGCAAAAGCTGTCTTACATTCGATTTTCTTCGGTTGCCGAGCGCTCAAATACTCCTCCGCCTCCTCACGGGTAGAGAATTTTTTGTACACTGGTTGCGGAAAATCATCAATCTAAACTTTTTTTCAAAACATTCGTCTCTCACAAATAAAGACAACGCTTTCTATTCGTAACCCATTGATGTATAGTCAACAGACAACTGTGAACAAGAAGTTGGTACTTCAACTAAATGAAATCTTACCAACTGCAAGTCAATGAAGCTAATAATGCCTCCGTTAGTCTCACACACCTGTTTCTTAGCATCGTCCCAATTTTCGTATATACCGCGTTCAAACCCGTGGGCAACGGCGTAGAACTTTGCCATCCCTATTTACTCTAATTCTAAGCAAGGAATTTTTAATATATTCGAGATACGTCTTGCCAAATCCATTATGCATTGAGAAGACGTTAGAGTTGGTACCAGCGTTTATTAGGACTGTGGTGATATCTTGCCATGACGATCGTACTTCGATCAGTCAGCTACAGGAACTTCACCGAATTTAATATACGAACGGAGTACAGGAAAAGCAATAAAAAAAACTGATGTACAATTACCACTGACAGCATTCATAGCAAGACAACGGGAAATGTTAACAATACATACCTATGTACAAAATTCAGATTATCACTTTAACATATAGTATTGCTAAACCGAACGTTACTCTCGAAGCTCAGCCAGCCGTTGTGCCATAGATTCGAAATCTTCACTTGCAACTTGCGGGCCACCCAGCTCGCCTGTTACTGCCGCAGGTGCTTTACCGAGCTCTCCTGCCGTCACTTCCCATAAGATACGATCAACTTCTTCCTGAATCAAAAAAATATATATAAAAAAGACCACTCTGTGATTCACATGTCTTGAGTCAAAACCTTGCAAAGCTATGCTCTAATTAACGAATTAAACAAAACAGATCAAGGAGTGAACAATGAAGTGATCATAAAAGTGAGAGATAACAGGCTAATGAAATCCTTGAAAATATGGACTAGGTTAGTGTTGGAAACCAACTCGCCTTCATAACCTCTAGGTGGAATATAAATAGAACAACACTTTACCATGTTACAGAATATCAACATCAACTTCTTCATTTTTTAACACGACCCATTTTTCACCTATACTGAGCGGATCCCAGCACTCTTCACATTCCACTCTTTTCTTTGTGTCCATCATCCATGAAGGTCTTTCAGCTTTTACATGTGGCTTCAGCCGCTCCTTGAGGGTTTCCCTTCGTCGTGAATGTCCTTTTCCTGGTCAAGCCGATTTTCCCTGCAGTCCTGAGATAGCCGGGCTACAACCTTCCCAACTGAACAGCAGAAAGTGCGTCTCTACCGGAGCCTGTTACGAATTTCCCGACCCAAAGGATAAGGAGCTTTGACGAGCCTGGAGCGAGATCGAGCAACCACCAACATCAACATAACGTTTTATCACTCCCTTTTCGAAATGATTATGCGATGAAGATGAATTTGAGATGATATACTGACCTGAGCCTGTTCCTCGAGGTCGGCAGGTTCCATGGTCTCCATAGTCTCTTCAATCATTTCATCAATAATACCAAGCTTCATCATCTCCTGTGACATTTCCCTCATTGTCTTCATTATTTCAGGTACCTGAAAGGAAACGAAATAATGCCGAAAATTTCGAAAGTTGGCAGGAGTAATTGGAAATAAAACCACGAAAGTATTTCAGTAATGAGGTCTAAAACAGAGATGATAAAGCCTATGATTGTTTAAATACGTACTGAATGCTAAGGAAACGACTGGAGGTAGATCAAAAGCTCCACTTAACATGAAAAAACGTACTTAGGGCTACATTTATTTATGATTCAACATATAAAATAAAATGATGAAATTTCTAACCTTTAGATGGATACAGGCTCTTAAATTGCTAAAAAACTACGTAAGGATATGGCTTAATTCAACTGAGAATGGACATCGCATAAATGTTACCGTAAAAAGGATAAAGGATAAGGCTCCAGACCTTCATCAATTCCTGAGGGATGCGTCATGAATTTCACTTCATTAAGCATCGTTTGAGGTGACTGAATGCATATCTGACTTATTCGACGACACTTGGTGGCCCACCGATAAACCGAGGCAGTGCTATCATCCCTCCACGCAAGTCTGCTACCAACTTGCCGGCCCCAAAGAAATGGAGGGCTTGGTACGCCTCAGGTGCAGGGATCGACCCCATGTGTATCGTAGGGCGTCTCCAACCGCTACGCTACGCGCGCCCCTTACCTGCCACCATAATCCTATTAATCATGTGTTGATTCAAAAACAAGAGGTAATAAGCACCTTAACGAGGTTTTGCATCGTTTGCAAGACCTGTGTGGATTTTTGCAGAGAGCCGGCCATTCGCATCGTAGCGAGTTGCTCCTGCATGCACATTATAACTGAGTTTATCTGCGCCTTACTCACGTGGATTTTAGCAATAGCCTAAAACTTGGATGATTTAGTAAGAAAGAACGAAGCAACAAGGAAAGAAGGAAAGAAGAAAAAGAAAAGGAACGAAGGTTTGCACAATCAAGGATAAACTAGTATACCTTGCGTGATTGCAGTAATGACTTCGCCAGGACAACACACACGTCCCTGTCGCCCTTCTTTGCTGCTTCTTTTATTTCCTTGATCACCTCAACTGATGTATACCATATGTTACTGTGAAATGAAACAGCAAAACGTCTCATAACGATGATTCTAATAACAAGCTTAGAGCAGTAAAGCAATAAGGAACTGTGACGAAACATCAGTCATCAACGTCGAAACGTACTTTTTGCTCCTCACGTTGAATTCCATACACTTGTCTGTCGAGAGCGCGAATCTCATTCCGCATTTTTCGCTGCATTTCCCTCACCTGCTCCTTAGCATCCTTCTTTTTTGCAAACAGCCCCATCATAGCACTGGAACAGAAAAGACAAAAGAATAAAGGATAAAGGTCTCGACATCGATCAGTCCTTGTGGGATACGTCAAGCATTCCCCTTCAATAAGCATCGTTAGAGGTGACTGAATGCATATCTGACCTTTACAATGACTCATGGTGGCCTGTCGATGTATCGAGGCAGTACCGTTATTTTTCCAGACAAGTCTGGCACCAATTTTCCGACTCCGGAGAGATAGAAGGTTTGGTCAGCTTTGGGAGCGAGGTTAATCCCGTATGTATTATAGGACCCACCCAGCGGTTTACCGCCTCATCGTGGTTGCGAGGTGTTCCTGGGTGTCGGACTGCGATGCACAGCGGGTGATCCATCCCCTAGCAGGGTCTCCCAAGGTGAGAAGGAGTCCGGTGTTTCCATCAGGAAGCCTAGCTAAGAGTAAACCAATTCCAGGAACCACCACCGTCCTAGTATCAAAGTCGCATGGTGGTAAATATCCCTCTGATCCACAAGGTCTGCGACTCTGGTGAAGACCTGGGGCAGACCTTGGTTAGGCTGACCTTAGGACTCCAGGGAACCATAATGGCTTAACCAGCAAATCTCCGGAAACTAGAGATTATGCGGGGGCTCGCACAACCAGTTAGGACGGGCCACTCAAGTACTAAGTATCAAGTAAGTGAAATACAACCACAACGTTGCTGAGATATTTGCAAAACTCTGGACCGCAGGTGTCTATGGTGGGGAACAAACGCGCTATTGTCCTTTCCGGGGTGTAACGCGTTCCCCACCATAGACACCTGCGGTCCAGAGTTTTGCAAATATCTCAGCAACGTTGTGGTTGTATTTCGCTTAGTACCCTGCCGCGAAATTATAGTAGGCAGAAAATAAAAAGGTATAACATTGTAATATCAAGTAGGTGTTACAGGGCACTGCAAACCCTTGCTCTACACGCGACGCTGAGAAAAAGAGAAACGATAGCACTCAACAACGAAAGAACAACGAGTACCCGAAAAATAACGCAATAGGACACGATTACAGCAGAAGGTCAGTGGGAATCTAAAGTAACTATGCGAAACAGCGTTGTGAACAGCACATCGGCAGCACCGCAGAGCAATTTCGGGGAAACGGTAAGACCGAGTGTGTGTGATCGACTTTGCGGAATTAGATCTCAGGTTCGAGGGCTTTTCCCTCTTTGCAATTCCTGGATAGTCCAGTTATAAAGTGAGGTGTGTTTGCTCTATGAAGTGCTTAGATTCAGTGCATGTAACACTTCTCTAATCTGAAATGAGTTAAAGTTCTCCAAATGTCTCGAGGTGGACGATATGTCGTGAGCGATCAGCGATCATACTGTAATCCGATCAAACCACTTTCTTCCAAACTTTTTCATATTCTTTTACGAGGTGTTCAGTACATCATTGTGTTGATGTTATCAAAACTGGACGCAGTTTGATTTACAATGGAAAACCTATCTACGCGGTCATAAATGATCTATTTTAGATAGATCTGTGGTCCCTTAGATCCACAAAACGTGCACGGGTGGCGCAGTGGTCAGAGGCGCCCCGATCGACTATCACGCCCCTGGCCCACCAAGTCCTCCATCCCTCTAGGGTAGGCATATTGTTACCAGACTTGTCTGGTAGGAGAGCAGCACTGGCTCCATACATCGGTAGGCCACCTCGAGTCATTGTAAAGGCCAGATAGGCATCATATTACCTCCAAACGATGCTTGATGAAGTCGAATGCATGGCGTATCCTTCAGGGATTGATCATCGCCGAGAGCTTTATCCTTTATTTTTACCCTTATGTGGTCGTTTATAATCTTTGTGGTGTCTGCTCTTGAATGAAATCGGAAAGTGGTGCTCCAGATCGAACATCCAGAAGCAAAGTGTGTTCGGAGATCTCATCCATAGTCGTTGCAGTGGCTTCACCAGCGCACCTCCTTGACCGTCACTGAACGGCTTCCCTCTTTACCATAGACGATGAACTACATACAGGTAATTTATAAGATCTTCTTGCTCCTGTGAGATTTCAATCGTAAATATTAAAGAACATAAATCCTTTGAAATGTCTTTTCTTTTCCATAAAACTTTGCCGTTTCCGGTTTCTTACTGGTGCCTGGATATAGTTGGAGGCGTCTTCATACAAATCTAGACGATTTTGTTCTTCTTCCTTGTGACTTAGTGAAAAGTTTCAACTGGCGAATTGCTGTGATATCACTGGTTTGTTTCGTGGACCACACCATACCAAAGCGTGAAATAGCCATCGTTTCATTGGCTCAGATTGTTTTCATTGCCTTAGTAGGAGGCAGAGTAAGGAAATCGTGTTTACTAAGTGGTGTAACTTCCATATGGCTATGAATTGTAAGTGTGGGAGGTTGAGGAGTTTGGCTTGCTTGAAGTGATTCCGCAAACACGTTCACCTGCTAGAGTTTGATTTCTCCATTTCCAATCTTGGAATGTATTCACCCAAAATACACTTAATCTCCCACATTTGCAATTCATGGCTATATGAAAGTTAATTAGGCCAGCAAACATGATTTTCTTACTCCGCTTCCTATTAAGACAATGGAAACAACTCGAGCCAATGAAACGATGACTGTCTCACGATATGGTGCGGTGTGGTACACAAAGTACTGAAACGAATTTACTGAGTGCTATGATATTAGTTAGGCAATATGAGAATGTTCTGTGAAACTCTCCACATTAGCTTTTCGCAGCTCTGCTTTTGCAAATTTCAGATGCATCTCATTCCTGTTATCGTCCTTCTTCTGCTGTATGCTATCGCTCCGGTGTCTTTTGAAATCCATGCTTCGCAAAAGAAGAATAAGGATATCACCGATTACAAGTGCTTTCTTCATTGAATTTTCTTTTGCAACTTGGAAATATTATCCTCCATCCTTCATGGCTGGTGGGATTATTCGGGAGGATAAAAACAGCTTGATATATTGATAAGTTATGGCAGTTATGGCAGGTCATATGGGCGCGTGCAGCGCAGTGATCGAAGGCGCTCTGCAATATGCATGGCATCGTCCCCCGCCCCCAGGCCCACCAAGCCCTCCATCTTTCTAGGGTCGGGAAATTGGTACCAAACTTGTTTGGGAGGATGGCAGCACTGGCACAATACTACGGTAGGCCACCGCGAATCGTTATAAAGGCCAGATATGCACTCAATGACCTCCTACGATGTTTAGTGAAGTCGAATGCATGGAGCGTCCCTCAGGGATTGATCAACGCAGAGAGCTTTATCCTTTTTTTACTTATGGTAGGTCATTATATAGGCCAAACATGCATTCAATATCTTTACGATACTTCACGAATACGTGATGCTTCTATTAATGATTGATCAACACCGAACGCTTTGCCTAATATTCTTTGCTTTTCCACAAACTAGCCATGTACTTATAAAATTAAAGCACATCAATTTTTCTTCAAGAAAAGGTTTTTCTAGGCGTCTATATATGGTTTATTGTTTCTCGAAACCAATGAAACGGAAGCTATAAAAGGAGGACAAATGATGAAGCTCTTAGCTTAGATTACTACTTCCTGAAATACGGTTCGTGCGTTTGACCTTATCAAGCATCGTTAACTCTGATTGAATGCATATCTGACAAAATGAATTGCGGGCCTACCGATTTACTCAGTGCTGTTATCATCGCCGATAGGTCTGGTAACAATTTGCCGACCTCGGAGCGGTGGATGGCTTGGTGAGCCTGTGGCTGAGTGGTGCGGAAAGTGGGAAAAGAAAGGGAACTGAGCTGACACTTTTGTCGAAAAAAGTCAGCTTTTGATTGTATTTCTTGTAACACCCTTCGCTTGTCATTGTGGCTTGGAACTGGTGCAATAACGAGAATAAGTTGATGGGTAATAGAGAGGAGGGTAAGTTTGTCAGTTATTTCTTTGGTTTGCCATTCAAAGCCAATGTGTTCTCGTCGTTTGTGCTGGCATATTGTATTATAATTGTCAACGGTTCTAATCCTGTCTCTGGCCATTTCACAAATATTACCCGCGTATTGCACGTCCTTCAATGTTTTTGCGCCATAATCATTTTTCAGTTGGTTATCCCATTAACCAACTTCCGTTGTTGTTCGCATTGCAATAATTAGTATTTTCTTGTGGTTTTTATCTTATCGCATTCATTCTCATTTGTGATTCTAGTGATGCCGATTTGGAACGACTATATATGGAGTGGGAAAGGAATGATAGAGATAAACTTGGTGATGATGGTGATGACGAAATGGCATCACATAAGCGACGTTCCACACCAATAGATTTGAGGGAACATCAGGTACAGCCATCAGGAAGTGAAAATTTTGTATAGATCTTGCCATCGTTGTTAATTTACACTCCAATGTAGGGGAAAACTGCCGAGGATTTGCTCAAAATTACGAAGAAGGGTGAGACACTCTTAATGTTCGTTAACATCCGAGATCCATCATCACCAGAAAAGAAGTGTAGACTGTTTACTGAGAAGTACACCGACCTATGGCGCTCAATGCTTCGAAACAATCACGTCGTAAGTGAGGTATATAGTTTAACTGCGTGTCTTATTTCTAATGCACCAATTAAACGCGGACCAAAAGCGGCTTTTTGGTTTCTTGAGACGCAGATAGATTCACGGAATTTTCTTCAGGGAAGACCTTTCCTGCGGTGCCAATTTGAGCAAGTGTAGGTTAATTTAAGTATGGAGTAAGTCAGAGTTGCTTCGGAATTCTTTAGGACGTGAACTTCTTTTTCTGTGAAGTCTCGTTGAAATCTTCTAGTTGTAGAACATTTCCGATTATCGTTAACTAGATTCATGTCATCTGTTGCGGAATGCATAATTTTTTTTTTACATCAAGCGAAATTCTTTCCAATGTTTCTCCCGACATTGAGCTTTATGTGTTATGGACGCTCTTGATTCTAGCGTATAATACTGAGATGAGATTTTGTCAGCGGCGAAACGTTCCTCTTGTCTTAACATTATTAGTGCCTCCTAGTAAACAAGCCCTGTGTTTTCTTACAAAAATTCTTGCAGAGACGGCAGACTAACCATGAGCATAGGGACGAAATGCACCACATATCAATAGCCGATTATGGTACAGGAGAGTTGCTTCTCTTGGAATGTATGATTTAAAGAAGTTCACGGACGGCGTTGATGTTTCGTCCCTATGAGTTTGTCATCAACTTCAACTCTTTTGAACAACTAACACATCGAATCTGACGCTTACGGAGAAAGATACGAACCACTGTAGATTTTGAGAATCTTCATTGTTTAGGCTCCATTATCACGCCGTGATGAATATATGGTGGTAGTATCTTGCATGAATTTGAACAAATCCTATAGAGATAATACTTTCTGCAAGATCGTCGTTGGTGCCATAGTGGCCAATATTGAAATTAAGAGAATGCCCGAACAACTTCATGTTGCGAGCCACGACTCAAATTGGATGGAGATAGTGAGAAACTGTCTGAGCTTACGATAACCAAGGCCAGACATGATAACCCATAATTCCAGGAACCATCCTCTCAAAGTTGGTCGTGGTTATGTATCAATGCAGAGTATCATAAGTAGACCACTTAAAAATGAATTCAGATGATAAGGTGGTTTACATCGTTGTTATCCCAAATCTGCCTACCTGAGATCTGGTCACCGCATCCGTGAGAGGTTTTTTAAGAAAGGAAGTCAAGACGTAAAATCACCTGTATTACCTGTAGTCCCGTTGATTGTCGAGTGACTCGAGCGGGTGCCAGTAAATCTTCCATTTTTCCCTGTCGCGTGCAAGAGTAGCTCAGTGGGTTCTGCTCGCTCTAGGGACTGGTCGAGCATCATATCTTTCTTCAAGACTCTGTGAAGAACACTGACCATCGGTTGTCATACGCATTAGGTGTCCAGCCACCTTATCTTAGACTGTTTGGCGTACAGAACGGCGTCTTTGGTTTTTGATCGTTGACACAGATCGGAGCTTCGGATCCCATCCCTTACTTGTGTGGAGCTGGATACTCCTGGTATCGTCCTTTCGATTGCGCGTCCGATAACGCTGAGTGACTTTTCATCCTGCTTACGCAGCGACCAGGTTTCTTACCATACCTTAGGGCACGAACTACCGTTGAGTCGAAAAGGTAGGCACGGAGTTGGATGTTCTCTGTTCTCTGCACCACATCCTCGATGCTTTTGAAAGCTCTCCAAACCGCTCGTTTCCTTCTGCTCAGCTCTGGAGCTAGGCCGTTCATCATACTGATCTCCCGAGACAGATAGACATAACTGGAACATTCAGCGATGTTTGTTCCGTTGAGCGTGAATGGGGCATACGAAACCCATCCGTTCTTCATGAGCATCGTTTTTGTGAGATTTAGCCGAAGACCAATCATTCAACAGGCTTTATCAAGGTCGTCAAGCCTACGTTCCGCTTGGCTAATGTTTGGTGTTATAAGGACGATGTCATCACCAAATCGAAGATGATTTAACTGCTGACCATCGATTTTTGCTCCTATATTGTCCCATTCCAATGTTCGCATGGCGTTCTGGAGGGTAGCGATAAATAATTTTGTCGAGATGGTATAGCCTTTCCTAACTCCTCTTTTGACGTCAGTGTTAGTATTGTTGTAGAATGGTGATACCTTGGTTGTAAAATTTTTATACAGCTCATGAAGAACTGAGTAGTTTATGTACTGAGTAGGGTTTTCATGACTATCAATGGCTTCCCAGACTGCTTCCATCCGTTACCGTGTGGATGTGGTCCATCGTACTAAATCCTTTTCGAAACCCTGCTTGCTCACATGGCTCTCCTTCTTCTAGTGTTTTGTCAATCCTGTTTAGGATGTCTCGAGTGAAAAGTTTGTAGTCGACAGACAATAAGCAGATTAGGCGATAGTTACCGATATCGTGTAGGTAATCCTTCTTGAAAAATAACACGGTCTTCCACTGAGTGGGGACCTTGCATTCAGGTAGGCAACGTGTGAAGAGGCGAGCCAGTGTCTTTACGAGGACTAACGGAAGGTTCTCCAGGTGTTCTAGTCTTATCCTGTCCGGACCTGGTACTGTTCGATTTTTCACTGACGAAATGGCATGACGGATTTCGGAAGGGAGAACCGGTGGTACAAAATATCCATCCTCCTTTATTTCATATGACAGAAGGTGGACGTGGCTATCGAAGAGATCCGAGTAGTATTCGTGAATGATTTTCTCCATTGCCTTTCTGGACGCTGTAACTGTTCCGTCTGGGCGCCGGAGTGCAATCATTTTGGTTTTATAATTGGCGAAGCTTCGGTGTGCTTTGCGAATGCTTTTCCCAGCCTCTGCAGCTTCGGCCATTACTGCTGCTCTTCTCTCTTTAACATCATCTTTTCTCGCCTGTCTCCATTCTTTTTCAAGTTCGGACGTTAGTTCGCGGTTGCTCGCAGCTCGTGCGATTCCACGCTGGCGTGTCGGCTCGAGTGTTTCTGAAGACAGACGTCTCTTGCTGACTTTCGAACTCTCAGTTTTCATAGTGCTAGCGTGAAAATCTTGAGTGAGCCGATCGTATTCTTCGACGATGTTATCGACAACGGCATATTCCCCACAGCCGACTAATGAATTGAATAAGTCCCAGTTTATGATCGTTCTGGAACTTCGTTTTTTGAATTTTCGACTTTTCTCCTTTCCGCGAGAAATAGAATCTTGCACGAAGAAGACAGTGGTCTGATCCCGTGTAGAATTTTGGTACAACAACGACATCGGTTAGGCAAAACCTTCTATTTACTATGATGTGGTCTACTTCGTTATGGTACTCTCCATTGGGAGACTCCCACGTCCAGCGCTGAGGGAGGGGTTTGTGGAATTGCGAGTTACCATGTATTGTCTTGGTCGCTATGATAAACTCAGACAGCCGCTCACCTTGCTCGTTCCATTCTAATCCGTGGGTCCCAACGTGGTGTTCTTCAGACGTTCTTCTCGGTCCAATCCTGGCGTTGAAATCTCGAATGTTGACCTTGCAGAATGTGTGTTCTTCTCTGTAGAACTTCTCCAAGTCCCATATAGAACGCTCCGACTTTTTCTTCGTCATAGTTTGATGTCGGTGCGTAAACGGCGAAGATTATCAAAGCCGGAATTGATCCACCTCTTTTTAACCGTAAACGTACGATTCGGGTTGTAAGTTGTTCGAATGAATCGATGTTCATGGGTAAACTCTTGCTGACGAGAGCTCCGACGGCGGCGACCCTCTACTGTCGCATGTTGGGAGAACAGTTCTTCTCTGGTGTCATAGACGGCGTTGAAAGGCCGGCGTTTTCGCGTCTCGGCCATGCCGGTGACGTACCTTATCCTTCTTGCTTGCATGAGCAAGTTTTCTGTCGAGGACTCGGATGAAAGTGTACGTGCATTGTAGGCACAGATCGTCACATAGTTCTTTGAAATCCAGGCAGCTTCCATTGGCTCTGAGATTTTAGCAGCCTCTCCTTATTCGTCCTCCACAGGCGTTCAACCCAAGACGTAAAATACAGGAAAAAATCCCGAAATTCTTCGTAAATTGGAATTTGTTAAGTGGTTAGTCATGTGTTGGGTGCTGGAAAGATGCCGTTATTGAACACATCGATGAACAATGTATTCCATTTTACTCAACATCTTCGCAGTGCTATGAGAACCGAGAGTTCGAAAGTCTCTAAGAGATGGCTGTTCCCAGGAACACTCAAGTTTTTACGCTATTGTGGAGTCGCATGAGTCGTACCTTCACTTTAGTGCTAAAAAACGTGAGAGTTCCAATGTTACCTAAGAAACTCTTTCAGGAAAGGAACAGATACAATCGTTCGCACATTTATGCTGATATCATTCTCCTAAATAGTCGCGTTTTCCTTCCTTCGTACTGAATTAGGGAGGTTGGATATCATCCACTTTCTTTCTTTTTGAGGAATATCTCTGTAACACTTGCTTCGGGCAAGATTAGAACTCAACTTCAGAGAAGCTTACCGCCAGTTTTAGAGAGTGTGGTAGCTCCGCTTTTCACACGTTACCTATCGGGATGCGAGTTACCTTCTTACTCTAGTCGTTCTACATGAGCAGGTAGAGTTTCGGAAAGGATTGACAACAATAGACCACATTCTCATGATAACGAAGCTCATTTTAGTAGAGTGAGAGTGCAAAGTATCGCTCACCTCACATCCATCGACGCCTCTGGTAAGGTTGGTCTTCGTTTAAAAATTAATGCTCTTCGTGAAGAACAGATTTGATTTGGTGCCCCATTAACGCTCCATAAGGTTAGGACCGCCGAACAGCACCTGTTTGAGTCCGGAAGACAGTGTGATGAGCTTCAAAATGCAGCCCGAAGCGAGCGACTTGAGGAACCATGAAAAGCATCTGAGATATAGTGAAGACTATGGAGGGCACCTAATCCTGCGTCGATTTCTTGACTCTGCGGTTCCTCCGGCTTTATTGTGCTCTCGGAAACCTTTTCGCTGCCTAAGAAGGATGAGAGCGTTATCGAACACAGTTAGGAGGATGTTGTTTAGAGTATACTGTTTCATACAACTGAGAGAAGATAATTAGGGGTGCTAACCCCTAAATTAGCGATTAATGCTCAGAGACTCCTTTATACACGACGAAATGTCGAAAATCAGGTGGACTAAAGGACGCGATGCGCTTTAGCGATGATTTGTAGACGGCACCCCTTAATGGCTACGCAAGAGATATTTTAAAGGATGTCAACCGCATAGCAGAAATATTACCAACTGTAAGGTCACAGAGATTTTAGAAAGGATATATGCAGCAGAACGATTGTCTGAGGAAAAAAGAAAAGCCATCTTGAAGACAAAAATGAACTACTCTTGTTGAACAGGCGTGAGGTTGTTATCAGTTGTTTTTGTAGTGGTGGTTGTATCAAAAATACTATTGGAAACAAACTAGCGAATGGATACTAGTGCATTGTTTCTCTCATGCTTCTCACTTGAAAAACAGCACTTGTCAAAAATGTATACCGAACGGTTAGAATGCGTGCAATAGTTTGCCTCCCACCCAACACCCAGTGCCGTCAAGTAGTTCGCAACCACCTCGTTGATCGTTTATGCAACTCAGAAAATTGTCTTATTTGTATTAACGGAAGAGACCGAGCAGAAGGATTGCAAGAGTTCCGGTACAATTTACTTGATCTCATGTAAGGCATGCGGTGAAGAATACATTGGCGAAACGACAACTTTGCCTCCACCTAAAGTAACATCTAAATGGGAAACTCGACAAAGTACTACTCTAGGTACACATAGAGTACGGAAGCGTAATATGGTCATTTTGAAGTAACTGTAGGGATGCTAACTCAGGAATCAAAGACATCAATGTGCAAGACTCTTGAAGCGTTTTGGATAAATTTTAAAAGTCCAAAATTGGCCAGGAAAGACGAATTCCTCACTATCACCCGAGACCTGGATCGTTTCCTCAGATCGTTTTCCACTTATTTCTCGCTTTTTTTCGATTATTTTTCTTCGAAAGTTCATCCATCGAATTCAAGTGGCAACTGATAACAATCTCACGTCAGCTCCAAGAAGCTCGCGTCAGCTCGCGTTCATAAAATTTATAAATATCAGCTGTTATTGCCGAGTTTTATACAAAGCCGGTGCTTCGATTTAAAAAGTTGTTGTTTCGAAAGGAACATGAAGTAGCACCACAAAAGTAGTCTTGATAAAGAAATTTGTGGCAAATTCAAAATCCAAGCCATCTGTTATACTAGGATGTTGATTGTGGACGTATTCCACAACCTCCATTCCTTACGATATATAGTACACTGATGACATCACTTAATTTTTGTGTTTACCTTACGACGACGGCAAGGTGGGGAATGATCCGAAATCAAAGGGCGTTGTGCCTGACCATCGAAGGCATCAATTTCCCAGGTAACTTGACGAACGAACTTCCTGAAAACGTCCTTTTATAGATCTCGGACTATCTCTGGCACAACATTTATTGGCAGCAAAACTATCGAATGAATGCAAAAATTATATCGAGATTACTTTATGAGAAGAAATAAACTGCCGAAGAGAAAATGCATGGTAATCAATGTGCAGTGTCTCGAGCATGTTAATACGCACTGGTACCTAATTCTACGGCAGAAAACGCACCTCAGAGAAGCATATTAATTACGCCTGTAATTGTTGGTTCGTGTTAAGGTTCGTGAAGTGTTAATCGTGTGAAGTTCCTGGGACGCAGGAGGCGGGGGATCCTGAGGAAGAACGGTACACGGATTTGACACATGCCTTTTGTGTTTGCGAAGAAGTATTCGTGCTTACTTACGTGGTTGTGTCTTCATGTATGCGGAGAGTTTCTAGGGGTCAACTCACCAAAGGCTTGAAATAAAGTGACTGGGAAGTACATGGGAGACGATTACGAGTCACCACAAGAGATAAACTGCACT